CCGGCGCCCGTCCGTGGGGCGGTGACACCTGCCCGAGCCTGCATCTCTGGTGCGGTGACACCTGCCCGAGCGCCCGTCCCTGGTGCGGTGACACCTGCCCGAGCGCCCGCCCCTGGTGCAGTGACACCCGCCCGAGCCCCCATCTCTGGTGCGGTGACACCTGCCCGAGCGCCCGCCCCTGGTGCAGTGACACCCGCCCGAGCCCCCATCTCTGGTGCGGTGACACCTGCCCGAGCGCCCGCCCCTGGTGCAGTGACACCCGCCCGAGCCCCCATCTCTGGTGCGGTGACACCCGCCCGAGCGCCCATCTCTGGTGCGGTGACACCCGCCCGAGCGCCCGTCCCTGGTGCGGTGACACCTGCATCACCTGTAGTACACAAGAGAGACATGAGGCAGGGTCTGTCCTTCACAGGAATAGCGATATCTGCTTACAAACAAGATGTGAGTGTTTAAAATGTGTTAAATAATTGAGTCTTTGCAGTATGTTGCTTCATTATGAAGTTGGTTGAGCAGGTTTTTCTACCAAACAAATTTTCTACCGGTAAATCACGTAAGTTGTAAAATACTTAATACTAATATTGATTCTTCTAACAGTGAAACATGTGGACACCTCAAAGGAGATTTTACTGTCATTTACCATAATAAATATTTTGCCATATGGAAAAGTTTTAGAGCTTTATCTAGGTATCATTGTATTTTGTTGGAACTTTTTTTTCCCCTTCTCTTGGTAAATGTATACCTTAAAGTTAACCATTTTCTCACATTTTTGGAAAAAAATATTTACGAGCCTGTATAAGCATTAGAAGTAGACTAAGTCAACATGCAATGTCTGTTTCTGTTGAAAGTATTAACCTCTTCTCTTGTAGTTGAAGCTTTTTATTTTATTCTTCAGGCTGTGGCTTCACTGCCTGAAGATATGAGACCTGGTCCTGATCTGTATGGTTTCCCATGGGAAATAGTGATTTGTGCTGGCACTGTTGGAGCCTTTACAATTTTCTTGTTCCTGTATAGAAGTTACCAATCAGTAAGTGTTCAAATTGTGTGCGGATATGTAGAGTGCATTAATGGTTTGAATGGAATGATTTAAAATGAAATTGTTACTTTTCTCAAGATAGAGAATGTTTCAGAGTTTTAAATCTGATATGATAGAATTTAGAATCCCTCTAAAAGAGGAACTGAGAAGTAGTCTTTTGTCAAGACAGTGTGTGGATGTGTGCTGAGTTACTGTTAGTATTAAAGGAAATGCAATGACACTTGCTGTAGTAAGGCTTCCGTTTTCATTCCTTTTATAGTTTCTACACCTGACTTTCAAAGTCAGCCCTTAAATTATTTTCACAGGATATCAAGGTCTTCTTCCCTAGGGCATGTGTCTTGCTTTGTGTATTGATAACTCCGTGACTACCCTGGCTATAGCCAGACCAGCTCGGGTAGTTGTAAACAAAAGCAATCCGGATGGATTCCCATTCAGAGAGGCATTTTGAAGCTCTTTGGACAGTGACTTTGGTTCTGTTTATTGGACCACTGAACCAACTTGATTGTGTGCTGTTCGTGAACATTAGGCTGATGACTTTGAGAAATGTAGAACTGAAATCCTTTAACAGATAAATCAGATTAAAATTTTCAGGTAAGGGTTGTCTTCCATTGTGAGTAAATAAGGATATGAGTAATAGCAGTTGCCCTCAATACTCTCCCTACTAATGAGATGGGTTCGGTGTCCATAATTCATTACTCTAAATTACTCCACAGTTTTTCCATACTTCTAAATAGAATGTAATGTTGGTGCTGGTAACATAATGATGTTCATGTTTGAATACAGGTTATGTAGTGGTTTCGTTTTTCAGATGGCAAGCAACTGTATTTTTAGGGTTCTAACATCAACTTAGATCTGGAAAAATGCCACCTTATTCTGCAGCAGTGATTCAGATTGTCTGAGGGAGATCTATATTTGTTACTGTATCTATAGTTTGGGTCATTCCTTCTGTTTCCTAGCAGAATTTATCTAGGTGGTATGAAAGAGGCATCTCAGCTCAGATGGGTCAAGCAGCAGCTCTAGTATTTTTTCACTCCAGCATGTGTCACTAAGGCATTAGATATTACTGAAGTTACTGACCTTTTTTCAGTCATCCATACTCACTGCTCTTTGAAGAACTAATGGTTACTTACTGAAAAGTAACGGAGTTTGGTTTTGGGCTTACTGGGGGATGATTGGATAAGGGGTGCTTAAGACTGTCTTCCCCTTTTTCTATTATTTGGATTCTTTGACCATCCCATGGCTTTAAATGAGGAGAAAACTGGATAGATATGAGGGACCCATTGTACATTAGGCATGTGAGCCAGGCCCAGCCTTAAGAGGAATGGTGTGTTGTGAAGTTTTT